ATCTGTACGAGTTTTGGATCAAATCAGCTTATAAATCATACGTAACCATGTCTGCATTATAATGATGTAGGGTGTGAAATAGACGCGCGCGACGAGCAATGTTTGTAATACTGATACTGCATGTGGATGAGACTGACGCTATATTAGCATAATTATAATACTGATGCAGGTTTTGAATCATTTAAACACTATATTAACATGATTTTTATACTGATACACAGTTTGAATCAGAATGGGAAGACATAAATAAACAGGTCTGTTATGCTGATGTAGGGTGTTTATTAGATTGACTGTACATGTATGTAAACAGGTCTGTGATGCTGATGTAGTTTGCCTATACATATATAAACAGGTCTGTGATGCTGATCTAGATTGACTATACATATATATAAACAGGTATGTGATGCTGATGTAGATGGACTATACATATATAAATAGGTCTGTGATGCTGATGCAGATGGACTATACATATATAAACAGGTTTGTGATGCTGATGTAGATTGACTATATAGATTGACATTATAAACAACCTGTAGATTATCTACATTCTTCAAGTCTAATGCACCAGTTGAAATGAGCTAAGGGAAGCTAACTAACTATAGATGGACTATACATATATAAACAGGTCTGTGATGCTGATGTAGATGGACTGTACATATATAAACAGGTCTGTGATACTGATGCAGATGGACCATACATATATAACCAGGTCTGTGATGCTGATGTAGATGGACTATACATATATAAACAGGTCTGTGATGCTGATGTAGGGAGTTTATTAGATTGACTATAAATATATAAACAGGTCTGTGATGCTGATGTAGATTAACTATACATATATGTAAACAGGTCTGTGATGCTGATGTAGATTAACTATACATATATGTAAACAGGTCTGTGATGCTGATTTAGATTGACTATACATATATAAACAGGTATGTGATGCTGATGTAGATGGACTATACATATGTAAACAGGTCTGTGATGCTGATGTAGATTGACTATACATATATATAAACAGGTATGTGATGTAGATGGAGTATACATATATAAACAGGTCTGTGTTGCTGATGCAGATGGACTATACATATATAAACAGGTCTGTGATGCTGATGTAGATTAACTATACATATATGTAAACAGGTCTGCTATGCTGATGTAGGCTGTTATTAGATTGACTATATATATATATATATAAACAGGTCTGTTATGATGATGTAGATGGACTATACATCTACGTAAACAGGTCTGTGATGCTGATGTAGGGTGTTTATTAGATTGACTATAAATATATATACAGGTATGTGATGCTGATGTAGATGGACTATACATATATAAAAAGGTTTGTGATGCTGATGTAGATGGAGTATACATATATAAACAGGTCTGTGATGCTGATGCAGATGGACTATACATCTATGTAAACAGGTCTGTGATGCTGATGTAGGGTGTTTATTAGATTGACTATAAATATATAAACAGGTCTGTGATGCTGATGTAGATGGACTATACATATATAAAAAGGTTTGTGATGCTAATGTAGATTGACTATACATATATAAACAGGTCTGTGATGCTGATGGAGTATACATATATATAAACAGGTATGTGATGCTGATGCAGATGGACTATACATATATAAACAGGTCTGTGATGCTGATGTAGATAGACTATACATATATATTAACAGGTCTGTGATGCTGATGTAGATGGACTTTACATATATGTAAACAGGTCTGCTATGCTAATGTAGGGTGTTTATTAGATTTACTCTTAATATATTAACAGGTCTGTGATGCTGATGTAGATGGACTATACATATATAAACAGGTCTGTGATGCTGATGGAGTATACATATATATAAACAGGTATGTGATGCTGATGTAGATGGACTATACATATATGTAAACAGTCTGTGATGCTGATGTAGATTGACCATACATATATATAAACAGGTCTGTGATGCTGATGTAGATGGACTATATATAAACATATAAACAGGTCTGTGATGCTGATGTAGATGGACTATTCATATATGTAAACAGGTCTGCGATGCTGATGTAGATGGAATATACATATATAAACAAGTCTGTGATGCTGATGTAGATTGACCATACATATATATAAACAGGTCTGTGATGCTGATGTAGATGGACTATACATATATAAAAAGGTTTGTGATGCTGATGTAGTAGGGTGTTTATTAGATTGACTATAAATATATATACAGGTATGTGATGCTGATGTAGATTGACTATACATCTATATAAACAGGGCCGTGATGCTGACAGGTCGGTGATGCTGATGTAGATTGACGATACATATATAAGCAGGTCTGTGATGCTGACAGGTCTGTGATGCTGATGTAGATTGACTATACATCTATTTAAACAGGTCTGTGATGCTGATGTAGATTGACGATACATATATAAGCAGGTCTGTGATGCTGATGTAGATAGACTATACATCTATTTAAACAGGTCTGTGATGCTGACAGGTCTGTGACGCTGATGTAGATTGACTAGTCTGTGATGCTGACAGGTCTGTGATGCTGATGTAGATTGACTATACATCTATTTAAACAGGTCTGTGATGCTGACAGGTCTGTGACGCTGATGTAGATTGACTATACATATATGTAAACAGGTCTGTGATGCTGATGTAGATGGACTATACATATATATAAATAGGTATGTGATGCTGATGTAGATGGAGTATACATATATGTAAACAGTCTGTGATGCTGATGTAGATGGACTATGCGTATATATAAACAGGTCTGTGATGCTGATGTAGATTGACTATACATATATATAAACAGGTCTGTGATGCTGATGTAGATGGACTATATATATGTAAACAGGTCTGTGATGCTGATGTAGATTGACTATACATATATGTAAACATGTCTGTGATGCTGATGTAGATGGAGTATACATATATGTAAACAGTCTGTGATGCTGATGTAGATGGACTGTACATATATAAACAGGTCTGTGATGCTGATGTAGATTAACTATACATATATGTAAACAGGTCTGCTATGCTGATGTAGGCTGTTATTAGATTGACTATATATATATATAAACAGATCTGTTATACTGAAGCTGGGTGTGAATTAAACTGATGTTACGTAAACAGATATGTTATACTGAAGCTGGGTGTGAATTAAACTGATGTTACATAAACAGATCTATTTTATGCTGACACTAGTTATGAATTAACCATTGTGATCTCGCGAGGCATACTTATGAAATATTCATAAACTTGGCATACGTTTACCTTAATACACTGAACATTTTTTGACGTTCAGAGAAAATAATCTAAACAACCTCTGAATCTTATTAACACATGTTGCTACTACTCTATGGTATGACAATGGAGATGAGATGATAAATATTTGAAAAAGTTAATGATGTTTTCCTTTGTTATTAGTTGTTTACTTTTCCTATATTACGGCATGATATATTAAATAAGTTGGATAACTATTGTATCTGTAGCAATATGTTAATAATCCTCCCGTCTCTATACAATAAGATAATTAGAGTAAGCTTAACATGGTAGGGAACTTCTGCTTTCTCGACGACAACCGTCATTTAATTCTAGGTCAAATCCAATGTCACCAACTCAAAACGAGAACCGGGGTAATGACAATTAAACAAGACACACTTCTTAGCATAAAAAATTCGACTTTTTCACACTCAATGAAATCGTATATTTCTCAATGAGCCTACCATGAAATGGTCACAGTTTTCATCAACTTGCATCTCTGGAAACCCCTCGTAGTAAGTTGTATGGATTTCCTGAAGTGTGTGTCCTAGTCAAGAGTGAATTGTGTGTTTGCTGTTTCTGTTAATCCTTGCCACTCTGTCATGAGCATGCTTGTCCTCGATATCTTTCAAACGATCTACAAAAATGTCGCCAGTTTTCAGGAAAATGTTTAGATTCTGGGTTCAACTTTTCCCATTCTAGAATATTCCAGCTTGTTTCATGACAGTTTGCGACCTTACACCATTTTATCTTACATTCCTCTGTTCAGCTTTAATATTGCAGTCGATATCAAACTGAAGCACACAATGGTAACATGTACCTAATGGACTTTGGATTTTTTTTACTCGCCCAAAAAATAAATTTGGGGCCAGCCAATGAGGTTCCCCACTATCCTTTATTGTTCATGTATACTTTTGAAACTGATCAGTTTAACAAAATGGCCTACCGGCAGCCATCTTTGATTTTTGACATTGAAGGTTTGTTAGTATTATATCTCAGGAATAACTTGAGGGATATTTCTCAAATTTGATGTGTAGGTTCCCCTTGATCCCTCGTTGTGCATGTTATATTTTGAGACTGACCATAAACACAAAATGGCGAAAGGAAGAACTGAACAGATCTTTCTCATATTGCAATGATCGATTCTATTTCTTTTACATTAAGTACTGTACTAGTAAATATGAGAAATGACAAACTCACTTTGAAGGTTGGCTTACATACACATTAGTATTAAGTTAAGATCAAAAGTTACCTCAAGGTGCATTTACTGTTAACATGAAACAGAATAGAGGAAAGAAGAGAAAAGATCGAACTGACAAAGAACTAATGATGATGGTACAATGGTGGGCGCCAAGATCCCTCTGGGATCTCTTGTTTAGCTTTCATCTGGCGACCAAAAAAACTATGATTTTAACTTAAAGCAATTCAATGTTAAAATTAATCTTTGTGGAATACACAAATCTCATAAAAACAATACATTTGAATACAGTGAGTATTCGTTTTGAGGCTACATTACAATTTAAATACCTGTTAATCTGAATGTCATATCATTAACGTTTTAGTTTCTTGTGTTCATACTTGAATACTCTTCTTAAATAAATAGAAATAAGACATGGATTCGATAAAGTTTTACTGAAGCTGAGTATACAGTCCGCGTCACATTTCTAAAGGATTACACTCTAGCGCAGGACATATAGCCACAAGTAACGAGTGCTTATCCGCCGGGCACCTGCTGTCTCGTCGGCCAACACTGTAAGGGGATATGTTTCAGTGGATGTTAACATTTCATATCTGTAAAGGTATTCTGAGGAACTAAATTATTAATAACTATTTCTTAATGGTAATCTGATACACTGCTGTTTCACCTACAATTAATGTATACAGGAAATTACTAATTAGAATGGAAATATTTCACACCGTAATTAATTTGAATTGTAAAAACAAAGGTCTTGTGTGTATAAAGGTCCGGAGTGAGTGGCGTAATATATGAGTTGTTTCAGACGTGACGAGGGAGAGAGCTCGGTGGACGAGCTATATATGTCGGTCCAGTTCAATTTTACCACGAACAAGATGGCGAACCGGTGGTCGAAATTTGGAATCATTTTGTGTATTATGATATTTCATATTTGCAAATCTAGTGCACATTTCCGAAGACAACGTATTTCCAAACATAGCGGACCGGTGTGGAATTCTGCTTCCGGAAACTCGGGGGGGTTGCCAGTGGGAAACAATGGAGGTTACCTACCCGCACCAACTCCAAAACCTTATGTTCAAACTAGGACCGTGTCCAGTGGACAAGACTTTCCACAGCAAGGAAACGCTCAGACTATGGTAAGTTGACAGCGTTTATACTATTTAACAATACGTTTTGTTGACAAAGTATTTAGAGACTGATGACCATACACAAAATGCATGGTATGTATGGTGTTACCACTACAACCACTATGCCAAGTCTCCATACTTGGCATACGTATAAATACAACTATACTGATACGGTAAATATATTCATATTTGCATACTTACGATAAACGTTTTTATATTTGTATACTGAAACGTTAACGTTTTCGTATTTGTATACTGATACGGTGAACGTGTTTATATTTGTATACTGATTCGGTGAACGTTTTTATATTTGTATACTGATACGGTGAACGTTTTTATATTTGTAAACTGATACGGTGAACGTGTTTATGTTTGTATACTGATATGGTGAACGTATTTATATTTGTAAACTGATACAGTGAACGTATTCATATTTGTATACTGATACGGTGAACGTGTTTATATTTGTAAACTGATACGGTGAACGTGTTTATATTTGTATACTGGTACGGTGAACGTGTTTATATTTGTATACTGGTACGGTGAACGTGTTTATATTTGTATACTGGTACGGTGAACGTATTTATATTTGTAAACTGATACAGTGAATGTATTCATATTTGTATACTGATACGGTGAACGTGTTTATATTTGTAAACTGTTACGGTGAACGTATTCATATTTTTATTTGTAAATTGATACGGTGAACGTGTTTTTATTTGTAAACTATTACGGTGAACATGTTTTTGATACGGTGAACGTGGTTATATTTGTATACTGATACAGTGAACGTGTTTATATTTGTATACTGATACGGTGAACGTATTCATATTTGTATACTGATACGGTGAACGTGTTTATATTTGTAAACTGTTACGGTGAACGTATTCATATTTTTATTTGTAAATTGATACGGTGAACGTGTTTTTATTTGTAAACTATTACGGTGAACATGTTTTTGATACGGTGAACGTGTTTATATTTGTATACTGACACGGTGAACAAGTTTATATTTGTATCCTGATACGGTGAACGTGTTCATATTTATTTACTGATACTATAAATTTATTTATATTAGTATACTGATATGGTGAACGTGTTTATATTTGTAAACTGATACGGTGAACGTGTTCATATTTATTTACTGATACTATAAATTTATTTATATTAGTATACTGATATGGTGAACGTGTTTATATTTGTAAACTGATACGGTGAACGTGTTCATATTTATTTACTGATACTATAAATTTATTTATATTAGTATACTGATATGGTGAACGTGTTTATATTTGTAAACTGATACGGTGAACGTGTTCATATTTATTTACTGATACTATAAATTTATTTATATTAGTATACTGATATGGTGAACGTGTTTATATTTGTAAACTGATACGGTGAACGTGTTTATATTTGTAAACTGATACGGTGAACGTATTCATATTTTTATAATGACATGGTGAACAAGTTTATATTTGTAAACTGATACTATAAACTTGTTTATATTAGTATACTGATACGGTGAACTTGTTTGTATTTGAATACTTTTACAATTTACGTATTGATATCTATATCCCAAATACGGTAAACGTATTGCTATTAGTATTAATATTTCCGCGTTTTGACGAAAAGTTTTGAGATACACAGATAACAATTTTTATTATTACTTTCTTTGTATTCAGGGATTCAGTGATATTTTAATTAAGTATGATAATTTATTAGCGCTTTCCATATTAGCTCAGTTTATCAAAACAATATTACCACTGAAAATAAACGAATTGACATAAGTATGCATTTAGACCTGTGGTCTTTTCAATTTATGTAAATATTTTGTTTAAAGAATGACAAATGTAAGCCACGCCCATATATTAAAAGTTGATGGTAATGACTGAATTGATGAAATTACGCTTGTTCTTTTGTTGTTAAAAGTTTGTTGAATAGTAACCGAAATTTTAAATAGGTTTTCTTGGTTGTAATATTCTTAAAATGTTTTTTCGACCACAATGGAATAAATATTTTCTATGTTATGATGGATGTATATTTTTGTCGTCTCATTCATAATTTAATCAGATCTCAATACCACTTGACTGTCGTATATAATTAACAGTAACTCATACTTATTACAACGTTGTAATATTAAACTGAAATATATTCTTGTTTTATTAAACTTTTAACATTATATATTCAGTTAAGTAGTGTTGATGTTATCTCTTCTCTGGACATTATCATTATGCTGCTAAGCGTGGGTGATTTCTGACTGTTTACCATTTGTTGTGGCAAAGATCCAACGAGTCGTATGCTGTTTTTCTCTCAATACATTGATCGCCATAGGAAATGTAACATGATTACTAAGGATATCAAAAGACAGATTCTATTTATTTTCGGCTTTATTTTTCTATTGGAATTGGCAATGTTTTTCAATGTCATAATTACCACTCAATTACCCAAAATATCTGATTTGTCATAGTTTTCAGTATAAACAGTGTGGTTGTAGAGAGGATCGAGCCGAAGGGTGTTTATTTCTGCATCCGGGACCGGAGCGTCACGAGAGGCATTGATGGAACAGATGAGGAAAATGATCAAGGAACAGCAAGAGCGTATTCGGCAACAGGGTGGCAACGGAAAATTTACCATAACAAGTCATACCTCCCACATAATACATGGGGCTCCACAGATAGTCCAGGGCCCGAAATCTCTGCCTGTGGCGCCGCCGCCGCCTCAGCAACCTTACAAGAGTTCGAAACCATTGACACAGTCGAAGTTTACTAAACAGGAGAAGGCAACACTACTGCAGTACCATAATGATGTAAGACAGAACCTGAACCCTCCCCCAAAGATTATGGAACATATGGTAAGTGACGCAGCTGTTCTAAGATTGTTTAAATAGAGACTGTGTAGTGCTACCCTTCAACTAGAATACTAATTGCAAATTTAGGAGACAATTTCTATTCATAAATGGTGTATATGGTGACAGGAATAAGCCACCATAATTATGCATGTGTATTTATATTTCGATCAATCATTGTTTAGCTTAGCATTTTCTTATTATAAAGGAAATACATTACTTAAAAGCTACAAAAAAATAACAATTGTTTATTCAGGTACACGATAGACACTAAATCAGTAAACAGGAATACACGCCTTTCTGTATCAGAAAGCAGGTTTTCCTTTTCTAAGAACGATATAGCAGTCATTATAGAATTCTACATGAAACGAAATCCTATATCATCTTGTATATGGAACGCAATGTTAAATAGTTTTCAACATGAAATGTCTTCCAAATATCTCCATGAAACGCAATGTTTTATAATCTTGTAAATGAAATGCAATGTCAAATCATTTATGTGAAATGAAAGGTTAGATTTTCTCAGTGAATCGTCTTGTCAAAATATTTACATGAAACGCAATGTTAACAAATCTTATTGATGAAACGTCTTGTCGAATCTTCTACGTGAAATGTAATGTTAAAATAATATCACTGAAGCGCCTTGTCAAATTAACGTCTACGTTCAATACGATGTTAAACACAGAACTGTATTTACTCGATGACATAGCTTAAATTATCTCTCTCACCTTGGTATCAAATAGTACCTGGCTGTCATATGTATCACCTACTAGTATCTTTGTTTAGTCCGATCTTTTAAGCCCTCTTTATTACCATCACAACATTCATTATACTACATGACTCACACTTACGTCTCTCTGTCAAATGCTACGCGATGTTTGGAATCTAGACACCCTCAAACATGTTTATATGTCTTTCATTTGGCAGATTCTTAACATGTTTCAGTCATCATTACTACCTGATTTTCAATTATGGGACTTCAATGATTGCCAGGGTAAAAAGACATGTTCACTTGTCTTTGTGGCAGACATTTTGTATTGTATATGACATAGGAAATCATGATGTATGTCGTTTGTGGTCGTATGTGCCTCCGGTTTTCAGATAGATTTTACTTCTATTTTGGCGTCTAACTCATCTCCGAAATCCACGGATTTTGCTTTCGATATATCTTCTATACATCGTGGGAATATTTCCTGACGACTTGAAAGCTCTGTACACGACATCTTTCCAAGGAAACGTGTAGAGTAGTTTGGGTATTTTGATGTACGTAAACGGTACTGCGCGTTAACATTACGGTAAAGCTGGCCGGGTTTTAGACTTGTGTAGCTCCTACGTCAACTTTAGAGGAAAGATATCAGCCTGGCAAGTGGTCAGGGAGTTTATACTTGAAAACAACCAAATAACTAACCGCATGCATTCCATTTTGTCATGACAATTTCGAAGAGTGTAGGAAATATATATATGTGAATCCAGAGCGTAACCCTGAACTTCAAAGATGGTGTCTCCTCATTTTCTTTTTGTGGTATTTTGTTCCTGTGTGTTGGTGCCATTTATTTCGTATAACTACATTGTAAAGTACATGAAGCACAGTTTCTACAGAGCCATTCGCTCTATAAAATAAAGCTTTCATCGGGATACATCGCTTGTCTATAACAATTGTTTGCAGTCGCCGAAGTCCGTGACACTTTTTTTGAAATCACAATAGAAAATCATGTCCAATTTTCTGGATAGGTTTTGCCAACCAGCATTTTAAGTCTTGGAAGTGAAATGTCTGTTGGACATCCTGCGTTTCCCCCAGGATCACAATAATTGTAAAGCTAGCAAATCACAAACTAAGAATTAATAACACACACACACAGGTAGAGCTATCACTAAAACCAAAATGTCAACTAGGTAAACTTTAATAAGGAATACATGGCGCTGCTGTGAGCACGTATGTAACTGTCGTCATTGATGTTAAAATACAGAAATGGAGTGATGTGCTGGCGGGAAAGGCGCAGGAGTATGCAGAGAAGTGTGAGTGGAGGCACAGTGACAAGGGTGGTCGGAGAGATAAACTCGGCTACCGGTTTGTCGGGGAAAACCTCTACATATCAACGTGTAAGTTGTGCACATAGCTACCTTTATGACATGCTAGTTGACATAAGTAAGACGTGTATCTTGTGTACATAATGTCATTCTGGCATAGGTACCTTTCTGATGTGTAATCAGCGAACATAGATAACGTGTATCTTGTGAACATAAGTACTTTTATGATGTGTTATGGTTGTAAATAGGTTTTCTTCTGACGTGAAAGCTGTGTAAATGTTTACCCTTACGACGCGTGATTGTACATAAGTACCCTTCTGACCTGTATCTTTTGTACAAAGTACCCTTTTGGCGCATAAGTGGTGTCAAAAGCTACCCTTTTTACGGGAAAGTTTTTTAAATACGTTCCGTTTTGCCGTGTAAATTGTATACATTGGTTCCATTCTGGCGAGTAATTTGTGTACATAGCTACACTTATGACATGTGATTTGTGTACATAGCTACACTTCTGATATGCAATTTGTGTACATAGCTAAACTTCAAGCGTGTAGTTTGTTCATATAGGTACACTTCTGACGCGCTATTTTTGTACATTATTACACTTTTGACGCGATATTTGTGTACAGTGGTAATCTTTTGACGTGTAATTTGTGTACATAGCTACACTTCTGACGTATAATTTGTGTACATAGCTACACTTCTGACGTATAATTTGTATACATAGCTACACTTCTGACGTGTAATTTGTGTACATAGCTACACTTCTGACGTATAATTTGTATACATAGCTACACTTCTGACGTGTAATTTGTGTACATAGCTACACTTCTGACGTATAATTTGTGTACATAGCTACACTTCTGACGTATAATTTGTGTAGATAGCTACACTTCTGATGTGTAATTTGTGTACATAGCTACACTTCAAGCGTGTAGTTTGTTTATATAGGTACACTTCTGACGCGATATTTGTGTACAATGGTAATCTTCTGACTTGTAATTTGTGTACATAGCTACATTTCTGACGTATAATTTGTGTACATAGCTACACAACTTACATAGCTATGTCTCAGCACGCGCCGCATCATTATCTGCGTTTATTTAATGAGAATCATAAGTTTTGTAGGAACAATCATTTACACGTTTAGCGAATTTCATTGATATTGTGTGTAAGACTGAACGCGACCCAAACATGCTATGTAATCTATGTTACAGTCCAGTTATAGTCAGCACGATGCTATGTAATCTATGTTACAGTCCAGTTATAGTCAACACGATGTTATATAATCTATGTTACGGTCCAGTTATAGTCAACACGATGTTATATATCTATGTTACGGTCCAGTTATAGTCAACACGATGTTATATATCTATGTTACGGTCCAGTTATAGTCAACACGATGTTATATATCTATGTTACGGTCCAGTTATAGTCAACACGATGTTATATATCTATGTTACGGTCCAGTTATAGTCAACACGATGTTATATATCTATGTTACGGTCCAGTTATAGTCAACACGATGTTATATATCTATGTTACGGTCCAGTTATAGTCAACACGATGTTATATAATCTATGTTACGGTCCAGTTATAGTCAACACGATGTTATATATCTATGTTACGGTCCAGTTATAGTCAACACGATGTCATATAATCTATGTTACAGTCAAGTTATAGTCAACACGATGCTATGTAATCTATGTTACGGTCCAGTTATAGTCAACACGATGTTATATAATCTATGTTACGGTCCAGTTATAGTCAACACGATGTCATATAATCTATGTTACAGTCCAGTTATAGTCAACACGATGCTATGTATTCTATGTTACAGTCCAGTTATAGTCAACACGATGCTAACTAATCTATTTTACGGTCCAGTTATAGTCAACACGATGCTATGTAATCTATGTAACAGTCCAGTTATAGTCAACACGATGCTATGTATTCTATGTTACAATCCAGTTATAGTCAACACGATGCTATGTAATCTAAGTTAGAGTCCAGTTATAGTCAACACGATGCTAACTAATCTATTTTACGGTCCAGTTATAGTCAACACGATGTTATATGATCTATGTTAGTTATATGATCTATGTTACAATCCAGTTATAGTCAACACGATGCTATATGATCTATGTTACATTCCAGTTATAGTCAACACAATGCTATGTAATCTAAGTTACAGTCCAGTTAAAGTCAACACGATGTTATGTAATCTAGGTTACAGTCCAGTTATAGTCACCACGATGTTATATGATCTATGTTACGGTCCAGTTATAGTCAACACGATGTTATATGATCTATGGTACAGTCCAGTTATAGTCAACATGATGCTATGTAATCTATGGTACAGGTCAGTTATAGTCAACATGATGCTATGTAATCTATGTTACAGTCCAGTTATAGTCAACACGATGTTATGTAATCTATGTTACAGTCCAGGTATAGTCACCAAGATGTTATATGATCTATTCAACACGATGCTATGTAATCTATGTTACAATCCAGTTATAGTCAACACGATGCTATGTAATCGATGTTACAGTCCAGTTATAGTCAACACGATGTTATACAATCTATGTTACAGTCCAGTTATAGTCAACATGATGCTATGTAATCTATGTTACAGTCCAGTTATAGTCAACATGATGCTATGTAATCTATGGTACAGGTCAGTTATAGTCAACATGATGCTATGTAATCTATGTTACAGTCCAGTTGTAGTCAACACGATGTTATATGATCTATGTTACGGTCCAGTTATAGTCAACACGATGTTATATAATCTATGTTACAGTCTAGTTATAGTCAACACGATGTTATATAATCTATGTTACAGTCTAGTTATAGTCAACACGATGTTATATAATCTATGGTACAGTCCAGATATAGTCAACACGATGTTATATGATCTATCTTACAGCCAGTTATAGTCAACACGATGTTATGTAATGTATGTTACAGTCCAGTTATAGTCACCACGATGTTATGTAATCTATGTTACAGTCCAGGTATAGTCACCAAGATGTTATATGATCTATTCAACACGATGCTATGTAATCTATGTTACAGTCCAGTTAGAGTCAACACGATGCTATGTAATCTAAGTTACAGTCCAGGTATAGTCAACACGATGTTATATAATCTATGGTACAGTCCAGATATAGTCAACACGATGTTATATGATCTATCTTACAGCCAGTTATAGTCAACACGATGTTATGTAATGTATGTTACAGTCCAGTTATAGTCACCACGATGTTATGTAATCTATGTTACAGTCCAGGTATAGTCACCAAGATGTTATATGATCTATGTTCCAGTCCAGTTATAGTCACCAAGATGTTATATGATCTATGTTACAATCCAGTTATAGTCACCAAGATGTTATATGATCTATTCAACACGATGCTATGTAATCTATGTTACAATCCAGTTATAGTCAACACGATGCTATGTAATCTATGTTTCAGTCCAGTTATAGTCAACACGATGTTATACAATCTATGTTACAGTCCAGTTATAGTCAACACGATGCTAACTAATCTATTTTACGGTCCAGTTATAGTCAACACGATGCTATGTAATCGATGTTACAGTCCAGTTATAGTCAACACGATGCTATGTAATCTATGTTATTTATGTAGTTTGTTTATATAGGTACACTTCTGACGCGATATTTGTGTACAATGGTAATCTTTTGACGTGTAATTTGTGTACATAGCTACACTTCTGACGTATAATTTGTGTACATAGCTACACAACTTACATAGCTATGTCTCAGCACGCGCCGCATCATTATCTGCGTTTATTTAATGGGAATCATAAGTTTTGTAGGAACAATCATTTACACGTTTAGCGAATTTCATTGATATTGTGTGTAAGACTGAACGCGACCCAAACATTACAATGTAATCTATGTTACAGTCCAGTTATAGTCAACACGATGCTATGTAATCTATGTTACAGTCTAGTTATAGTTATAGTCACCACGATGTTATATGATGTATGTTACAGTCCAGCTATAGTCACCACGATGCTATATGATCTATGTTACAGTCCAGTTATAGTTAACACGATGTTATGTAATCTATTTTACAGTCCAGTTATAGACAACACGATGTTATGTAATCTATGTTACATTCCAGTTATAGTCAACACGATGCTATGTAATCGAGGTTACAGTCCAGTTATAGTCAACACGATGTTGTATGATGTATGTTACAGTCCAGTTATAGTCAACACGATGCTATGTAATCGATGTTACAGTCCAGTTATAGTCAACACGATGTTATATAATCTATGTTACAGTCTAGTTATAGTCAACACGATGCTATGTAATCTATTTTACAGTCCAGTTATAGTCAACACGATGTTATGCAATCTATGTTAAAGTCCAGTTATAGTCAACACGATACTATGTAATCTATGTTACAGTCTAGTTATAGTCAACACGATGCTATGTAATCTATGTTACAGTCCAGTTATGGCCAACACAATGCTATGTAATCTAAGTTACAGTCCAGTTAAAGTCAACACGATGTTATGTAATCTATGTTACGCGATATTTGTGTACAATGGTAATCTTCTGACGTGTAATTTGTGTACATAGCTACACTTCTGACGTATAATTTGCGTACATAGCTACACTTCTGACGTATAATTTGTGTACATAGCTACACAACTTACATAGCTATGTCTCAGCACGCGCCGCATCATTATATGCGTTTATTTAATGGGAATCATAAGTTTTGTAGGAACAATCATTTACACGTTTAGCGACTTTCATTGATATTGTGTGTAAGACTGAACGCGACCCAAACATTACAATGTAATCTATGTTACAGTCCAGTTATAGTCACCACGATGCTATGTAATCTATGTTACAGTCCAGTTATGGCCAACACAATGCTATGTAATCTAAGTTACAGTCCAGTTAAAGTCAACACGATGTTATGTAATCTATGTTACAGTCCAGACACGATGTTATGTAATCTATTTTACAGTCCAGTTATAGACAACACGATGTTATGTAATCTATGTTACATTCCAGTTATAGTCAACACGATGCTATGTAATCGATGTTACAGTCCAGTTATAGTCAACACGATGTGATGTAATCTAAGTTACAGTCCAGTTATAGTCAACACGATGTTATGTAATCTATTTAACAGTCCAGTTATAGTCAACACGATGTTATGTATTCTATGTTACAGTCCAGTTATAGTCAACACGATGTGATGTAATCTAAGTTACAGTCCAGTTATAGTCAACACGATGCTATGTAATCTATGTAACAGTCCAGTTATAGTCAACACGATGTTATGTAATCTATGTTATAGTCCAGTTATAGTCACCAAGATGTTATATGATCTATGTTACATTCCAGTTATAGTCACCAAGATGTTAACTGATCTATGTTACAGTCCAGTTATAGTCAACACGATGTTATGTAATCTATGTTACAGTCCAGTTATAGTCACCAAGATGTTATATGATCTATTTTACAGTCCTGTTATAGTCAACACGATGCTATGCAATCTATGTTACATTCCAGTTATAGACAACACGATGCTATGTAATCTATGTTACAGTCCAGTTATAGTCAACACGATGCTATATGATCTATGTTACAGTCCAGTTATAGNTTACAGTCCAGTTATAGACAACACGATGTTATGTAATCTATGTTACAGTCCAGTTATAGTCAACACGATGCTATGTAATCTATGTAACAGTCCAGTTATAGTCAACACGATGTTACATGATCTATGTTACAGTCCAGTTATATTCAACACGATGTTATGTAATCTATGTTACATTCCAGTTATAGTCACCAAGATGTTAGATGATCTATGTTACAGTCCAGTTATAGTCAATACGATGCAATTTAATCTATGTTACAGTCCAGTTATAGTCAACACGATGCTATGTAATCTATGTTACAGTCCAGTTATAGTCACCAAGATGTTATATGATCTATTTTACAGTCCTGTTATAGTCAACACGATGCTATGTAATCTAAGTTACAGTCCAGTTAAAGTCAACACGATGTTATGTAAGCTATGTTACAGTCCAGTTATAGTCAATACGATGCAATTTAATCTATGTTACAGTCCAGTTATAGTCACCAAGATGTTATATGGTCTATGTTAAAGTCCAGTTATAGTCAACACGATGCTATGTCATCTATGTTACAGTCCAGTTATAGTCACCAAGATGTTATATGGTCTATGTTACAGTCCAGTTATAGTCACCAAGATGTTAGATGATCTATGTTACAGTCCAGTTATAGGCAATACGATGCAATTTAATCTATGTTATAGTCCAGTTATAGTCAACACGATGCTATGCTATCTTTGTTACAGTCCAGTTATACTCAACACGATGCTATGTAATCTATGTTACAGTCCAGTGATAGTCACCAAGATGTAATATGATCTATGTTACAGTCCAGTTATAGGCAATACGATGCAATTTAATCTATGTTACAGTCCATTTATAGTCAACACGATGCTATGTAATCTAAGTTACAGTCCAGTTAAAGTCAACACGATGTTATGTAAGCTATGTTACAGTCCAGTTATAGTCACCACAATGTTATATGATGTATGTTACAGTCCAGTTATAGTCAACACGTTGCTATGCACTCTATGTTACAGTCCAGTTATAGACAACACGATGCTATGTAATCTATGTAACAGTCCAGTTATAGTCAACACGATACTATGTAATCTATGTTACAGTCTAGTTATAGTCAACACGATGCTATGTCATCTATGTTACAGTCCAGTTATAGTAAACACGATGTTATATGATCTATTTTACAGTCCAGTTATAGTCAACACGTTGCTATGCACTCTATGTTACAGTCCAGTTATAGACAACACGATATTATGTAATCTATGTTACATTCCAGTTATAGTCACCAAGATGTTATATGGTCTATGTTAAAGTCCAGTTATAGTCAACACGATGTTATATGTTCTATGTTACAGTCCAGTTATAGTCACCAAGATGTTATATGATCTATTTTACAGTCCTGTTATAGTCAACTCGATGCTATGTAATCTAAGTTACAGTCCATCTAAGTTACAGTCCAGTTATAGTCAACACGATGCTATGCTATCTTTGTTACAGTCCAGTTATAATCAACACGATGTTAAATGATCTATGTTACAGTCCAGTTATAGTCAACACGATGTTATATGATCTATGTTACAGTCCAGTTATAGCCAACACGATGTTATATAATCTATGTTACAGTCCAGTTATAGTCAACACGATGTTATGTAATCTATGTTACAGTCCAGTTATAGTCAACACGATGCTATGTAATCTATGTTACAGTCCAGTTATAGCCAACACGATGTAGTCACAAACAATGAACACAAGCACAGTGCACTGGTCATGTTATTTTTTTTTTTATAAACAATTTACATTTCACACCTCCTTATCACATAATCGTTTTCTTATCCGACATGTCAACAGACCAGTGCGATTACCCTCATTGTATATATTGGATAACAATGGCCACAGCAGTCAGCCAATAACATTTAATAGTCATTTGTACTTATAACTACAATGAAAAATATCACCTGCGCTGGACAGAAACAGATTTAAGTACAGTGAGGTGAGTTTACAAAATTACAAAGTCTTAAAACATCTGGCTCCTACTTACCATTAAGTTCCCGTTGTGGTATCATACTTCTCTAAATAGTTAGATTACTGCTTTATATAAAACAAGAATGTAAATATTTTATCCACATACACGTACATGCATGGTTTTAAATAAAAGAAATTGTATAAATCTCGAAACCATAAGTAGAAACAAAATAAGATAATCAATAGATATATTTGAAAGAATATTTTTATAAATGTGAGTCGAATATGATATTATGCAAACCCATATCGTTAACAGCTAGAAGTGATTAAATAACATTTGTAGTGAAACACTAATAGCAATATTTAATTGTCGTCCGTAACAACATTCCCTATATCCTCCTTTCATGATTGTTTTAGTGTACAGTTAACCAATAAATTGCCTTATAAAGCCGTCATAGTGATGTTTTCTGTACTTCTAATATGTATGGTATGTGCATTAAGATACATGGTTTGTGTCAAAAGGGGCGTTTGTATAACGTTTCTTAGAAAGTTTCACATCAATTTGATTTAGTCACCAGGTATCTTGAACAAACGCGTTTTAGTTTTTCATCCTAACAAAAAAAACATATTGAAGAAAAAATTGACAACATTAGATCCAGTTAATAATCTTTTCTCGTTTTATTTTTTCAACTTTAGGAATGTATCAAAAACAGCAAATACACTGTCCATCATTAAAGATAAAAAAAGATAAAGTGTAACATATGTCGTTATATTCCATTGTAGCCTATGGTGTGACGAAAAGTGTGAAGAGCTGGGCAGACGAGAAGGCGTATTACGATTACTGGGCAAACACATGCGTCCCTGGTCAACAGTGTGGACACTACACACAGGTAAATAACAAGACTTAGAGTGATGGATGCACCATGGCAGTTTACAAGGCCAATTGGAAGGCCAAATTCAAACTATGTTAACATGCTTTAGGTGTATATCTACACTTATGTACTAGTACGTACTCCATAACAATATCTTTATTTTCTAATATGTTAATTATATATATATGACAATGTTAACAGATTAACAGACAGTGTCTCATAATTCTTAATAAAGAATACACATCAGAATGGGGTGAATGGGTATGTGTGGTTATTCTAATACATGCACAATTTGATGTTTTCTGATGTGTGACACTTTAATAAACATATTGAATTAAATTAATAAAACACATCAAAACGTGTTTTAACCTTACATTATTGATGATCAAAAATAATTTACCTGTACATTTTACATCTTACAAACCGTACTCTCAGGAACTTGTCAATACAAATTAATGTTTTCATTACATGGGACATTCATAACAAAAAAGCCACACATACTATTTAGCCATGTATAAGTTCATGATTACTTCCCTATCAAGATAGTAAAGTAACAACTGAAAGTCCTACAGTAGAGACAAACTGTAAATCGCAGTTTTTCTAGTTAAAATTCTACGATGAATACTTATGAACTGTCGAATATCCAGAACAGAATAAAACTGTTAGCAGACACAAAGCTTAGCGTGTTATTGGATTGTAACAGAAAAGCGTATTGGTGAATCGGCGCATTCACAATAAATGTGATAGGATATATATACAGAAACAGCAATTATCGCAATTATAATTTAGGGCCGTATTTAAGGCACAAAAAGCACTAACATCAGAAATACCGCTAACATATGTACGTTGACAGTATTAATAAATCATCAAACAGGTGATTACCCTGAACCAAATCTCCCTTTCTGTTACATCAATACAACATATTATCAAAGCACACATTGTTGTTATTAATGACACCTAGTAGTTTATAAATACATAGTTGATGTACTAAGTCATCATAAAATGAAGATAAAAGAAAATTATTGATATCTAACGTCTCTATAATATGCAACTCGGGGCTCTCTTTTTATGTACTCATATTTTTGGTTCAAGATTTCTTATTTTGAATTTTCTTACATTTACTTTACAACACATTAAATGCATGTGTAAGAAGTACGATACATAGTATACAGTATTATGCAATCAAAATGTCTTGTTTTACTTAAAGTTTTAGTTAAGTTAATATATATGTGATGGCTAGTTGACACATATGCAGCAATATAAGACAGCGTTCTATATCATCTCTTTACAACATGCAAATTGATATATATGTTTTGTTTTATGGACTTTTTAGTAAAGGCTTCATGACTCGGGACTTATAACTGCGCTCCTGGCGCTAAAATATATTTGGAGGTACCTCAATGCAAACAAATTTTTATTAGCAGGAACAGAATAACAATATAAACTACACTTGTCCTAAATATGAGATACACATTAGCCTCGACTTGTCCTAAACATGAGATACACATTAGGCTCGACTTGTCCTAAACATGAGATACACATTAGCCTTAACCTGTCCTAAACATGAGATACACATTAGCCTCGACATGTCCTAAACATGAGATACACATTAGCCTCGACTTGTCCTAAACATGAGATACACATTAGGCTCGACTTGTCCTAAACACGAGATACACATTAGCCTTAACCTGTCCTAAACATGAGATACACATTAGCCTCGACTTGTCCTTAGCCTCGACTTGTCCTAAACATGAGATACACATTAACCTCGACTTGTCCTAAACATGAGATACACATTAGGCTCGACTTGTCCTAAACACGAGATACACATTAGCCTTAACCTGTCCTAAACATGAGATACACATTAGCCTCGACTTGTCCTAAACATGAGATGCACATTAGCCTCGACTTGTTCTAAACATGAGATACACATTAGCCTTGACTTGTCCTAGACATGAGATACACATTAGCCTCGACTTGTCCTAAACATGATGTAAACAGTCAGCTATACGACTACATTCAAAGTTTGGCTTTCAGATGATTTGGGGAACAACAAACATGGTGGGCTGTGGAATTCATTTCTGTAAGAAGGTGGAGTTCTGGAGACGTGGTGACGCTTACTATGTCGTCTGCAACTACGGACCTGGGTAAGACATGCTGTGCATGCTTATTTCAGTACGTTAGCACGGTTTCGATGTATTTCTTGTTCGATGAACAATGTAAATGATGCTATTCAAGTTTAGATACTTTACAACAGCACGAAACACTAAATATTTATATTTACTGGCTTAAATCTTAATGGTATCACAAAGTATGGAAATCAAATTTATTCGTCCTGTTTCAGAGGAAATATTAATGGGGCACGTCCATATGAGGCCCAAACACGGACCAGTGGTAATAGTGGCGATAACAGAAGCAGTGGAAACAACTGGAACAGTCAGACAAGCAGAAGCAGAAATACCCAGGATAGTTGGAACGGTCAGATGAATACCGGCAATAGTGGAACTAACTGGAACAGTCAAAATAATGGGATACCTAGTAATTCTGCTAACAAATGGAATAGTGTTAGCACCGGTACAGGTGGACAACAGGTAATCAGTGAAGCACGTGGTCATCATAAACCCACAAATTCCAAGAAGACGATTATAACACATACAAAAACTAGCAACAAGAATGTAATAAGCAGAGTAAGCAGAAGGAAAACGCGATCTCGCCGTCGTCGTCGCCGCCGTTAGGGGTACGAGACCAAGGGGTTTAACTGTTATTACAAGGGGGATGTAACATGCGTTACCTTATGTAGCCATCAAAGATTACTATTATTGCAATTATACATCACGAGTTTTGTTATTATTGCACTACTGATTTAGGTAGCAGTCCGTAGTTTCTATGCCATGGGAAGTCGTTGAATGTTAAATGTCCCTTAGTCATATGTTCAGTATTTTGGGCAAATTAGCTCTATTATGTTTCAATTCGAACAAATGCCGATATTAAATTTGAAAATCAAATGAGTTTGCATGGTAGAAAAATAATGTTAGGAACTCGCCTTTATTAAAATAAAGACGAAAACAAAATATACAGAAAGAAATGAGATAAGTAAAGAAATTTCAACTTCATTTATCCTTCTTTTATTGTTTGAGACAATATGAAGAGATGTTTTGTTAAAAAACAACATGTTATTGCCTACTCTATAATCTAGCGCGTATAAGTGAGGTATTTGCAAGGTAAATCAACACTAAAAACTGTGTACATTATCTGGACTGCTACCTTAATCTAATTTTTGTTTGTTCCTCCTAAATGCCAGATATCTGATATGATATTGATATGATATTGTGAAAATATGGTTAAATCCTTTCAAAGTTGGCTAAAACATGCCATCAGCACTTTATGAGTGGTTTTACGCTTTTAATGTTACCCAGTAGAGGATAGCAGTCGCATCTTAACCTATGGAAAAACAAAACAAATAACCGTTTATTAATATTTGTTACAATATGTTTCATGCTCGTTTTATCGCAGAAAGGTGGACAGATAACGTGAGGTTCTCACGGATATGGCCTGATACCTACTATATTTGAATGGTGTCAAAATGTGTACATTAAAATGTAAAATAAAGAATTCTGTTAGTTTCTTCTGGTTTTGGATTTCTTTACACAATACGGGCTCAGATATGAGGACATTGAAGATGGTTTATCAACCACCACATGCTTGAGGGCGAGAGTACCACCGTAAGAAAAGATTCTGTCAACTTATCATTATGCTTATGCAGACGAAATATAAAAGAAAGTAACATTCGGTAAAGAAGAATATGACAGCAATATTTACCAACATTTCATGTATATATCATATAATGCAATACGTATGTGGAAAGGTTTGTAAAAGATTATGCTACCTTTCAGCCGAAATTATGCTTAAATAATGATGTGTGAACGTGTCGTTTCTGTTTCGTACACATGTAAACGTTTTGTCAATTATTCCTGGCGGCTTTGATAGTTGTTTGTATGAACAGTCGATAGCGTACAAGTAATGCCTATTATCGATTATAGAATGCATTATATCATATACTTATGTGCGCTGTAAGTATATGCACATTTTATTTTATTGACGAATCATTCATATTTTGTTTCCTATTGTCATTTAAAACAGTTTCTCTACTATCAGACATCTGTCGAAGTAATAAAATTCGCAATGCTTTCGCATGATTAATGTGTTCTATTAAGGTCCGGATTTCGTCGACATCAGGTATTATATTTTTTGTATAATCTTTCCTATGAAATAAAAAGATACATCCACTCCCATTATGTAACACCATGCCTGTACTCCCACTGAATACGCATAAACGATGTCTGTATTCCCAATGTGTCGACAAAGACCCAAGCTGTACTCTCACTGCGTAAATGCAGACCAAGTCTGTAACCTCACTGTGTCAACACAGTACCAGTGTGTAAACTCATTGTGTAAACATAGACCCAAGTTGTACTCTCACTGTGTAAACACAGACACTGTGTAAACACAGTCCCAGTGTGTAAACNCACAGACCCACGCTGTATACTCACTGTGTAAACACAGACCCAAGCTACATACTTACTGTGTAAACACAGACCCAGTCTGTACCCTCATCGTGCAAACACAGACCCCGTTTGTACCCTAACCGTATAAACAAAGACCCGGTCTATGACCTCACAGTGTAAACATAGACCCAGTCTGTAACCACACTGTGGACACACAGACCCAGTCTGTACTCTCAATGAATAAACAAAGACCCAGTCTGTTACCTCACTATGTAATTATAGACGCAGTCTATACCCTAACTGCTAAACACATACCAATTATGTACCCTAACTGATAAACACAGACACAGTCTATAACCCACTGGGTAAACACAGACCCAGTCTTTACTTCAACTGTGTCGAAAAAGACCCAGTATGTACCCTCACTGTGTAAAACTGTACCCTCATTGTGTAAACACCGACCCAGTCTGTACCCTAACTGGTAAACACAGACCCTGTATGTAACCTAACAGACCCCGTTTGTACCTTATCCGTATAAACATAGACCCAGTCTATAACCTCACAGTGTAAACATAGACCCTGTCTGTAACCTCACTGTGTAAACACAGACCCAGTCTGTACCCTAACTGGTAAACACAGACCAACTGTGTAAACTCACTGTGTAAACACAGACCCAGTCTGTAACCTCACTGTGTACACACAGACCCAGTGTGTAAACTCACTGTGTAAACACAGACCCACGCTGTATACTCACTGTGTAAACACAGACCCAAGCTACATACTTACTGTGTAAACACAGACCCAGTCTGTACCCTCATCGTGCAAACACAGACCCCGTTTGTACCCTAACCGTATAAACAAAGACCCGGTCTATGACCTCACAGTGTAAACATAGACCCAGTCTGTAACCACACTGTGGACACACAGACCCAGTCTGTACTCTCAATGAATAAACAAAGACCCAGTCTGTTACCTCACTATGTAATTATAGACGCAGTCTATACCCTAACTGCTAAACACATACCAATTATGTACCCTAACTGATAAACACAGACACAGTCTATAACCCACTGGGTAAACACAGACCCAGTCTTTACTTCAACTGTGTCGAAAAAGACCCAGTATGTACCCTCACTGTGTAAAACTGTACCCTCATTGTGTAAACACCGACCCAGTCTGTACCCTAACTGGTAAACACAGACCCTGTATGTAACCTAACAGACCCCGTTTGTACCTTATCCGTATAAACATAGACCCAGTCTATAACCTCACAGTGTAAACATAGACCCTGTCTGTAACCTCACTGTGTAAACACAGACCCAGTCTGTACCCTAACTGGTAAACACAGACCAACTGTGTAAACTCACTGTGTAAACACAGACCCAGTCTGTAACCTCACTGTGTACACACAGACCCAGTGTGTAAACTCACTGTGTAAACACAGACCCACGCTGTATACTCACTGTGTAAACACAGACCCAAGCTACATACTTACTGTGTAAACACAGACCCAGTCTGTACCCTCATCGTGCAAACACAGACCCCGTTTGTACCCTAACCGTATAAACAAAGACCCGGTCTATGACCTCACAGTGTAAACATAGACCCAGTCTGTAACCACACTGTGGACACACAGACCCAGTCTGTACTCTCAATGAATAAACAAAGACCCAGTCTGTTACCTCACTATGTAATTATAGACGCAGTCTATACCCTAACTGCTAAACACATACCAATTATGTACCCTAACTGATAAACACAGACACAGTCTATAACCCACTGGGTAAACACAGACCCAGTCTTTACTTCAACTGTGTCGAAAAAGACCCAGTATGTACCCTCACTGTGTAAAACTGTACCCTCATTGTGTAAACACCGACCCAGTCTGTACCCTAACTGGTAAACACAGACCCTGTATGTAACCTAACAGACCCCGTTTGTACCTTATCCGTATAAACATAGACCCAGTCTATAACCTCACAGTGTAAACATAGACCCTGTCTGTAACCTCACTGTGTAAACACAGACCCAGTCTGTACCCTAACTGGTAAACACAGACCAACTGTGTAAACTCACTGTGTAAAGACAGACCCAGTCTGTAACCTCACTGTGTACACACAGACCCAGTGTGTAAACTCACTGTGTAAACACAGACCCACGCTGTATACTCACTGTGTAAACACAGACCCAAGCTACATACTTACTGTGTAAACACAGACCCAGTCTGTACCCTCATCGTGCAAACACAGACCCCGTTTGTACCCTAACCGTATAAGCATAGACCCAGTCTATGACCTCACAGTGTAAACATAGACCAAGTCTGTAACCACACTGTGTACACACAGACCCAGCCTGTACTCTCACTGAACAAAAACAAACCCAGTCTGTACCCTCATTGTGTAAACACAGACCCCGTCTGTAACCTAACCGTGTAAACATAAACCAAGTATGTACTCTCACGGTGTCAACACAAACCCAGTCTGTACCCTAACTGGTAAACACAGACCCAGTCTGTACCCTAACTGGTAAACACAGACCCTGTCTGTAACCTCACTGTATAAACACAGACCCAGTCTGTAACATCACTATGTACGCACAGACCGAGTCGGTACCCTAACTGGTTAACACAAACCCCGTTTGTACCCTAACCGTATAAACATAGACCCAGTCTGTAACCTCACAGTGTAAACATAGACCCAGTCTGTAACACCACTGTGTAAACACAGACCCAGTCTGCACTTTCACAGTGTAAACACAGACCCAGTATGTAACGTCACAGTGTAAACACAGACCCAGTCTGTACCCTAACTGGTAAACACAGACCCAGTCTGTAACCTCACTGTGTAAAAACAAACCCAGTCTGTAACCTCACTGTGTATACACAGATCCAGTCTGTAACCTCACAGTGTAACCACAGACCCAGTCTAAACACTAACTGGTAAACACAGACCCAGTCTGTAACCTCACTGTGTATACACAGATCCAGTCTGTAATCTCACAGTGTAAACACAGACCCAGTCTGTACCCTAACTGGTAAACACAGACCCAGTCTGTACCTTAACTGGTAAACACAGACCANGTAGTCTTTACTCTCAATGTGCATAGACCCACTCTGTTACTTCACTGTGTAAACACAGACACAGTAAGTACCCTCATTGGGTAAACACAGACCCAGTCTGTACCCTTACTGGTAAACACAGACCCAGTCTGTAACGTCACTGTGTAAACACAGACCCAGTCTGTACCCTAACTGGTAAACACAGACCCAGTCTGTACCCTAACTGGTAAACACAGACCCAGTCTGTACCCTAACTGGTAAACACAGACCCAGTCTGTACCCTAACTGGTAAACACAGACCCAGTCTGTACCCTAACTGGTAAACACAGACCCAGTCTGTACCCTAACTGGTAAACACAGACCCAGTCTGTACCCTAACTGGTAAACACAGACCCAGTCTGTACCCTAACTGGTAAACACAGACCCAGTCTGTACCCTAACTGGTAAACACAGACCCAGTCTGTACCCTAACTGGTAAACACAGACCCAGTCTGTACCCTAACTGGTAAACACAGACCCAGTCTGTACCCTAACTGGTAAACACAGACCCAGTCTGTACCCTAACTGGTAAACACAGACCCAGTCTGTACCCTAACTGGTAAACACAGACCCAGTCTGTACCCTAACTGGTAAACACAGACCCAGTCTGTACCCTAACTGGTAAACACAGACCCAGTCTGTACCCTAACTGGTAAACACAGACCCAGTCTGTACCCTAACTGGTAAACACAGACCCAGTCTGTACCCTAACTGGTAAACACAGACCCAGTCTGTACCCTAACTGGTAAACACAGACCCAGTCTGTACCCTAACTGGTAAACACAGACCCAGTCTGTACCCTAACTGGTAAACACAGACCCAGTCTGTACCCTAACTGGTAAACACAGACCCAGTCTGTACCCTAACTGGTAAACACAGACCCAGTCTGTACCCTAACTGGTAAACACAGACCCAGTCTGTACCCTCACTGTGTAAAAACAGTCCAAATCTGTACCCACTGTGTGTAAACACAGACATCGTATGTACCCCACTTTGTAAACATAGACCAATTGTACCTTCA